TGGTCTCAATGACTATTTTTTGAAAATACAACAAGGTGGGAGAAAAGATGCCAGTCACACGCCCTGGTCACAAAAGCCCAAATTTTGCAGGAAACAAGCCATCTTGATTTCCTTCTATTGTTGCTCTCAGCCTTGTAAAATGACTAAGAGAACAGTTTTTCATTGTTTTCTACCTTCCTCCATCTTTGGGGAAGGAGAACAGAAATTGAGAATCCCAAAATTAAAGTTGATAAATAAAAATATCTGTCTCCTTGGGATGACTTTCAGAGAACAATGAGTACCTTAGGGATAAAAAAGGGGTTTTTTAATATGGGGGGAATTAATGAAGTAAGCAAAGATTTTGGGGAGTTTCTTGTCTTAATATAATACTTTGGTGGTTTACCCTAATAGACTGCTCTCTATTTGTTGTGGAAAGAGAACAAATATAAAAGGTAAACCCTAGATAATCCCTAAACTTTATTTTACTTAGCAATTTCACCTTCTCTCCTTTTCCACACCAAAGCCTTTTTATTCAGAGTTGCTAACAAAGACAATCAAGGTTCAATTCAACTCAACCAGACTGGATTGGGTTACAGCTCTTAAAGCTGGGAGTGAAAAGGGGCTAGAGATAATCCCCAAATGGGGTAATGTGCCCTCTGAATAATCAGTAGTTAACTGAACATTTTAGGCAGCTTTGCTAATGCAGGTTGTAGCATCTGGATTATATTCATAGAGCATAGTAGAATTTACAGCTGGATCATCTAGTTCAATGCCATCATTTTTACAGACAAGGAAAATGAGGCAGAGAAAGATTAAGTGACTTTTCCAGACTGGTACAAGTAGCTCGCACAACTAAGGCTAAAGCTCAGGTTGCCGGGCTTGAAGTCAAGATTTTCTTTCCCCCCCTCCCCTCATTAAGATGCCACTAATTTAATAAATATTTTTGAATGCTTACTATGTGTAGGTCTCAACATTCTCCAACCAAATTCACTATCTTATTCTTGGCCTACTTCTTCTATCCTTAAAGCCTCTATTAATGGTATCACTCTTTTCCAAGGTTGCCTAGGGCAGGAAACCTTAGAGTAATTTCATATTTTTCCCATTCCCTCACTACCTACATCCAGTTATCTAATCCTATTGAGACTACCTCTGTAATACCTCCTGCACGCATCCTTAACAGCCTTCAGGTTTTCTCCCAATGCTGCAGAGCAATAGCCAAGAGTTACAATACCAGAAGCAATTTAATTGAGAGTGGGGATGGGGGAGTGGGGAGAAGAGAAATGATAGTAGTGCAGAAGATGGTCTCACCACAATTTTGTAAGGAAAATAGTCCATTTCCTACACCAGATAATATGTCCTTCCCCTACAAGAGAGTTGATAGAGAAGACTGGCTCAGAAAGAACCATAGCAATGGAAGTCTGAGGGTGATTGTACCATTTGGCATGACAGACTGATAGAGATCTATGAGGTGAGATACATGGATAGAAGTCACCACAAGGAAAACATGGAACTTTCTAGACATTTGCACTCTGAGGCCACACCTCATTTGCCCCTCCCTAGTAAAAGCTCAAAAACATTGAAGAGGTCACTATTGATGAAAGGAATAAAATTCAAACATTTTAGCCTGCCATTAAAAGTCCTCTATGTTCTGGCCCCAAATTTATCTCCAACTATTATTCCCATTTTGGAAATCTTAAGCTCCAATTAATATGAACTTCTAATTGTTCCCCATACAAATGCTATATTAGGCATAAATAGGCATAGCTGTGCTTCTGTTCATTCCATTCTCTTTCTTCCAATAGCCTCTCATCCTTGCTTGTCTTTTTAATGCCCAATTTTTACGACCCAACTCAAAATCTGGATCCTCCAGGAAGCTTGCCTGCTGATCTCTCCAGCTGAACTGTCTAGGAATCATAGGATAATAACATATAGCTAGAAGGTGCCTTATACTAAGGAAATCTAATTCGACTGCTCTCTTTTTTATATTTCTTCTTCCTCTGTGCACAGTTTATTCTTTTCCTGTGGCACATGCAAGTTCCTTAAGGCTAAATTAAGTGTTCATCTTTGTATCCTCAACAGCAACTAATGTATATTTACATTAGTCTTACATGTTATTTATATTTATATTTACATTTATTATTATCATATATTATATATTATTGTATTTACATTAGGATTGAACTACTACAAGGCAAGTAATAATAATAATAACTGAAATTTATATGGTATTTATTATTATATGCATATATTAACATATCATGTATGTTTTATATTATATACAACATAATATATTATGAATATATTAATTCATGTATTATTATATGTATATTACATATTATATTTACATTAGGATTGAACTACTATGAGGAAAGTGATAATGGTAGCTGAAATTTATGTTGTACTTTGAAGTCTGAAAATCATTTTAAGTGTACTATCTGATGTGAACCTCACAACTGCGTAAAGTAAGTGATGCTGGTATCATCATTCCCATTTTGCAGATGAGGAAACTGAGGCTCAGAGAGATTAAGGCTCACCCACAGTTATACAGATGGCAAGTATATGAGGTTGGATTTGAATCCAGGTCTTCCTGACCTAGTCTAGAATTCTATAAAGCATGGTGAGTGACCTGCCCTACCTTTTCTGTGTTCTTATGAACTTCAGAACTGTGATCTGCAGCCAGACATTGGTCTTTTGGAATCTCTTAGGAATTTATGGTGTGGAAATCACAATATAAAGCTATGTAAATTATGGGCAAGAGTCTAACTGGAGATTGTCCAAATCAAACAAGCAAATAGTCACCCAGTTTAGGTACTGAAGACCGTTTGGTTCTCATTGCTGTTTCTCTTTCTCTCATCTTATCACTCGGCACAAACGGGCACCTTGCTCACTGACCCTCTGCCTGATCTTGGCATTCTGAGTTGGCAGCAAGGAAAATAGTCAGGATATTCTGATGCCTTCATGGGGAGGTCTTTTGGAACTGTTATAGGATGTAACACACATAGCACACACACACACACGCACACACACACATACACACACACACACACAATTAAAGATGATTTCCAATGTGCCTAACAAACGTTGTTTAAAGATACAGTTAATTCTGTGCTTTTAGTAGCTCCTCCCATTTCATACAACAAATCTGTTCTTCTCCAAGATGGTCCATCTGCCTCTCCTCCCATGACTCATGATGATTCATGCTCAAAGCTGTGAGCATGGGTGTTCTGAAGAAAGGTGGGGGGAGGCAATGCAGAGCAGTGAGAAGAGACATGGACAGAGAAGTCAGAAGGCCTGGTTCCTAGCCTGAGTTCAATCACTAACAAGCTATGTGACCTCACTTCAGCTGAACCATTAACAAGTTATATGACTTTGGGTTATTCTCTTCACTTCACAGGGCTTCACTTTCCTCATCTGTAAAATGTGGGGAGTGGACTAGATGACCCCCAAGATTACTTTCAATGGGAAAGATCACTAGATCATTTTAATGAGTAAGGAAGGGTTTGGACACTCATAGGTATATAGCAGCAATCTGAACTCCAGCCCAGAAATCCAGCTGCTTCTATCTCTTTCTTCTTCGTGGTCCCTCAACCTACTCCTAGTCAATCCTGCTGGGGGATAAGGAGAGGGTAGGAGTGGGGACAGGAAGTGTTCATCACAATTTGCCTCCTAGTCAGCAAAGTTGGGTCCTGCTAGAGTGAGGCTTACTCCCTGAAGAAACTTTGCAGTGGGCACAAAGGCTGCCAGCCTTTCCCTGCCTCTCCAGACTTTTTTCCACCATGCCCCCTCTCCACACTTTTCAGCTTCTTTCAATGTATTGCTTTCTCTCATTAGCATGCAAGCTTCTTCAGGGGTGGGACTGTCTTTCTTTCTGCTTGTGTTTGCATTCCCAAAGCTTAGCACGGTGCCTGGCACTTGTTTTTGTTAAGTCGTTTCGGTCATGTCTGACTCTTCATGACCCCATTTGGGGTTTTCTTGGCAAAGATACTAGAATGCTTTGCCATTTCCTTCTCCAGCACATTTTACAGATGAGGAACCTAGGCAGATAGGGTTAGGTGACTTGCCCAGGGTCACACAGCTAATAAATGTCTGAGACCTGGCATGTAGTGAGTATTTAGTAAATGCCTCTTGACTTGACTCAGAGGACATTTCCAATAGTGGGAAGCACTACCTTACCAGATAGTAAGCATCTTGAAGACAGGGCCTTTATCTTATTTACCTTCATATATCTCTCAAGAGCTAGCATACTGGTGTGTCAGCATACGTAGCTGGCATTTAATAATAGATATTCATGCATGTGCCACTAATGTTTCCGAGGATCTTATCTCAAAATTCTGTGGATTACAATTTACTACCTTTGTCAAGTCAACAAGCATAAGTTACTTATGTGCTAGGCACTGTCGTAAGTGCTGGGGATATAAAGAAAGGCAAACCTTTGGCCTTTGGCAAGTCATTTCATTTACCTGGGCCTCAGTTTCCTAATCTGTAAAATGAAGGGGTTAGAGTAGATGACCTTTGAGGTTCCTTCCAGGTCCAGATTTATGATCCTAATGAGTTATTATCATCATTGTACCCATAAGAAAACAGGCTCAGAGACATTAAGTGATTTCCCAATGATAATATAGCCTGCTCACCCCCCAGTCCCCTTCCCCTCAATCATCTCTTTGGACTCCAACCGATGTTTTCTTGCTATAGCCAACTGCAGGGTAATAAAGAAGTGCTTATTGAATCATCGAATACAAGAGGAGGTGCTGTGAAGCAGAAAGAGCACTAAATTTGAAGTCAGAGGACCTGTGGTAGAATTCCTTCTCTGCCACTGGGCAAATCCTTTTTTACTTCTTTCGGCTCTATTTCCTTTCTTCAGTTTATGTCTCAAACCCCCCATCAGGGGTTCAGGCTAAATGTTCTCTGTGGTCCCTTCCAGCTCCGTATAAATGACCCTCTGCATGAATTGACAACCCAGTTGCCTCTGAGGAGCCCTGTCTCAGTGCTGCTTATTCCAAGACTGGTGGTTTCCCATCAGCGCTGGTCCTCAGCCCAGAGGGCTGGGGCCAGTTATCTCTGCGCTGGAGCCTGTCCCCGCTCACTCCTCCATCAGGTGGAGCAGCTCTACACTCTACTTAGCTGCTCTGCTCTGCTCCGCTCTCCTCTCCTTCCCTCTCCCATTCAGTCCGAAGGAGGGAGATGAGCGCAGAGCACCTGGAAGCGCCAAAGAGGTCTAATCCAGAGCACGCAGAAGGTGAGTCTAAATGAGGACCCCTCTTGCTTAGGGCCGGGGGTTGGCTGTCTGGGCTGGCGCCGGAGCCGTGCTGCTTCACAGTCCTTCAGGTACCACTCTCTCCTTCTTTCCCAGGTGCTGTCTGTCGAAAATTGCAGTGGTTTTGCCGGCACTCAGGGTTGAAATGCCTCCTGGCCCTTTTAGAGGCAGGCAGCTTATCACTTAACACTCGGTTTATTGGGTTCCTGCCGGAGTCCGGAGGCATCGAGGGCTGAGAGGAGACTGGGGGGAACGGAGCTGGCGGGGGTACATCCGAGCCCATCCGGAAGCCAAGGATGGAGAGTGGAGTAGGTCGGCGCTCTTCCCCTCTTTCTAGCTTCCCGACCCCCCTACCCCCACCCCCATGGGACTGGGAGAGAAACACATGGGCGAGTGCTGGAGTCAGTGAGTGAGTCTCTGTGGATTGCTACTTGTATTTTTTATTATCCGTGCTATATCTCCTCTCCCTGAGTGTCGCTCGCTCGCTGAGGAGTCTATCCTCCCCCATAGCCCCCTTCCCATCTTTCTCCCTCCATAGCAATTCTGGGCCCTATGCCAATGAGGAATTTCTATAAGAGATGACAAAATTATAAGTAAAATCTGCAAATGATAAATCATGAATCAAATATAATGTCTTTTGTGGTCATAGGTCTGGAGTTATGAGAGATTTTAGAGGTTATCTAGTCTAATCTGTATACTTTACAGACGAGGAAACTGAGGCACAGAGAGGTGCCCAAGGTCACACAGGCATTTCTAAGTGACAAAACAGTGTTTCAAACTCAGGTCCTGTGACTCCAAGTTCAAGTTCACTTCTTTCTCCGTTGTGTCACGATGCCTCTTTAGGGTGCAATTCACACATAATAGGATTAAAAACTAATTGTCCAGGGCTTAGGTATGAGGTCCCCCTCTTTCTTGAAATTAGAGCCAGAGGCCAATCCTCCCACCCTCCATAAATTGGACTGGATCGACAACTCTTGCCACAAGTAGCTGGAAAGTTAGTGAACAAGACAAATCACTGGATTTGAAGCCAGAAGACATGGGTTCCAGTTTAGGTTTCGACACAATAGCTGAAAACCTATGAACAAGTTATTTATCCTCTCTGAGCTTCAATTTCCTCCTCTATAAAATGAGGGGGTAGTGGTGCTGGTGATGATGATTGATGATGATGATGATGATGATGATACTTTTGCCTAGGTTCTTCGTGAGGGTCAAATGAGAATAAGTGAGTAAATATAAAATAATATTATTATACATGTGTAAATATGTACATGTGTACCTATATGTACTCATATAGGTATTCATCCTTGGTATATTAATTAATTTTTGTAATTATTCATAAGAGCCATCTCTGGCATGTGTTATCTCCTAAATTAAATTATGTGTACAGCTAATGTCCATCATTCGAATAATATTTATCTACCTCTTCCAACCAGTACCTTAACGTTGTGTTGCTGGTTCCCTTCTTGGCCCAGTTTATTTAAGTGACAGAACACTCTTTTGTCTTAGCCTTAGAGCACAACCTCACAATTCTCATTTGCTTTGTTTTTACTCTTTTGTTCCCAAAACTAATGTTTGTTTTAACTCTCCCTTTGACATGCTAACACCCTCTTCTGAACTGAGTTACGCAAACAAACCATTATGGTTGAGAAAAGAAGAACTGACCCTAGCACACAGTCTTACTAATTTGTTAACCTTTGATAAACAGCAGCCAGTTGTCTTTTACTACAAGGGTAAGAGCTATCCTATCTGGGCTCTTGAAATTTGGAATGTGCCCCGTGGCCTTGCCTCAAGAGTTCCCAGCAACAGAGTTTATGCCTCCACTTAATACTGTTTATGCTGTCTTTCAAATAACCCTGGTATTGAGTGTGTAATGTTAATATAGAGAGACTTGAAAGTCCTACCCAGGCACCAGGATCTGATGAGATTAATGGTCTGAATTTGGAATGGGATGGGACAAATCAAGATACATTGTTCCCCTGATCCCCATAGAACTTTTCAGTCCTACGCTACTTTTCAGCATATGTTGCTTTTGCAATTGAAATTCTTAAGAATTACTTCATGTATGTAATTTTGCCAAACTACCTAAAGTGCTTCCAAAGTATGACTGTGCATTCTCTTTCTTTTTAAACTCCCAAACCTCACCTGAGATGATGTGCCAAACATGAAAAACACTCACAAATGTTTCTGAACCAACTAGATTTAAAAATTTTCCTAATCTGGTACCACAGAGGAAGAGGAGATATTTGGTAAATGACAAAAAGTCATAGGGCTCTTACAATAGTGGAACTTTGCTATGACCTTGATCTGCCCTTGGCACCAGGAACTCAAAATACCTTTGCAAGGAGTAAGCTCTGAAGGAGTGATGGAACCCAGCTCTCTGAGAGAAACTCCAAATCAAAAGACAGGCTGCTCCCCCCCAGGCCCTTCTGAGGAAATGCACAAACAAAAAAGGGGGAGGAGAATGAGGTGAAGAAACAAACCTGGGTGTTTTTCCTTTCCCTCTCTTGCATTTTCTTTTGCAGCTGAAAACCAAATAAAGTCCCAACATCTTGTTTATACAGTCCTTTTCTTCTTTACAAAGGCAAGATGGTACAATTGGCAAATGTGCCAGATTTTGGAGCTAGAGGACCTGGCTTCAAATCCTGACTCTGCGGGTCATGAGCAGTGAGACCTTGGCAAATCACTTCACTGCTCAGGGTCTCAGTTTCCTAGTCTGTAAAATTGAGGGGCTTGGACTAGATGACCTGTAAGGCCCTTTCCAGCTCTGAAACTGTGATCCTACTATTCTTCCTAAGAAAGGGGAGTCTTGAATGCTTATCTCTTAAACCTCTCTGACTCTAATGCTGCATATTTTTAAAGTCCTAGCTAAAGATGCAGCTCAACACACACACACACACACACACACACACACACACACACACACACACACACACCCCTCTGTATACTTTCTCTCTGTGTCTTCAGTGCACACACAGTGCCACAATTTCACCCTACTCCTCTGCTTTCCCTCTTTCTTACAGAGGCCGAAAATGCATATTTGTGCACAGCCATCATCTACTTCATTCCTATTAAACAAAATTAGGTTATTTTACAGAAAGTCAGAGGTACGTTCCCAGCCAGAGATTTTTTGTGTGTGTGTGCCCATTGCAAGAGCAAAAGCCAAATCTTTTCCTCCTTGGGGGAAAAAAGAAAGAAAAGAAAACATTGTTTCCCTCACCCTCACGATGTTTAGCTCCTTTCCCCCTTCCTCACCAAACCAGCATTTCCTCTTTAATTATGACCTGTTTCTCTCCCACCTCCTTCTCCTACCCCTCCAGCCTCAGTGAAAGGAGCTGCTGTCACTCAGTCACTCACACCCTCTCTCTCCCTCACTCACTGCTGTGGGAGGAGCCCTGCTGGAGGAAGCTGTATGACTGATGCTGAGAGGCTGAGAATGGATCTGCAAGGAGTGTGTACGTTACTGAGGAACCAGGTTTCCAGAGGCGGCTGAAAAAGGCTACTCGACTTCTGCTGGCTGCAAGAATATAGACACAGACTAAGACAGACGGACAGGCGGACAGGCGGACAGATGATCTCGGAGCTCGGGAAAGGACACGCAGCAGAGACAGAGGAGACTAGAGAGCCCGCGAAGAAGAGAAACTAACTGCAAACCTAAGTTCCTCCTCCGGCTTTCATCTCGGTTCGCTCTAAGGAATGAAACCTTTCCAGCTTGATCTGCTCTTCGTCTGCTTCTTCCTTTTCAGCCAAGGTAGGACGGATGCATTACTTGAGTTGCAAAGAAAGTCGGCGGCGGGGTTGTCACTGAGGCAGTGGGCAGGGATGTGGGCAGGCATTGGCCACTCAAACTGATGGATGCGCCGCTCACTGCCAGGCAGGCAGAGATTCAAACAGGGCACTGCTTCTTTTGCCTTTAAAATGCAACAACATGCTACTGTTTCTTCGCCTTTGAAAGTGAGGGAGAGAGAAGGAGGGAGAGGGGGAAGGGGAACGTTCTTCTTCTCTCTTTTGTAAATGCCCAAGGGAAAAAAGAAAGAAAGAAAGAAAAGACCAAAACCCACAAAAACCCACCCCCCTCCCATGCGAATGAAATCACTAGTTCTTTAGGTCCGGGTGATGTTAATGGAGCTGTGTATATGTACGTTTCCACTCTGAACTTCTCTTCACCTCCTCCCCTAAGATCGCAGCCAGGGGACTTTGTGTGGATGGATATTTCAGCTGGCCCTGGAGCTGTTTGGCGAGAGTGTGTGTGAGGGAGAGCGTGTGTGAGGGAGAGCGCGCGGGGTGATTGTATAGGAGCCGGAAGGCGCTACGATTCCTGCACGAGCCAGCGTGCGGTGGAGTCATTTGCAGTGGTTACCAAAAAGATTTGTATAAAAGAGTTTGCCCTGGATTTAATGGTGGTTCCAGGGTGGTGCTGGGCTCTGTGCCCGAGGGCCAGGTTTTTCCTGTCTAAAACGCAGTCGAGCCCCCTGGAGCGATCATTCTTTCTCTGCTGCCCAGCCTAGCGGGATCTGGAAAGCTCGCGCCGAGTGTCTGGAGAGAACTTTGGGGGGCTGCGAGGCTGACAACAATGGGAGGCTCCGAGCTAGGCAAGAGGCATCCGCGGTGGCTGCCTTTTCAGGGGGCATCAGAAATCACCTGTAGAATCGAGTTTGAAGGGAATAGATCAAGCAGTCCCTTCCAAGAGCCGTGGAATGCCAAAGCCGTCAGAACCATCTGTGGCACCGCAAGGCCAGCGCCTGTGCCAGCTCGGATCTTAGAGGGACAGGACTCACATTCGGGGAAAAATATACAACACAGCAAGTCCATCTGTTGATTAAATGAAGGGTAAAAGTTTTTGAGAAAGCAGAGCCCTGCCATGCATGACTTCGGCTCTGCAAGCATAACAGCATGCCTCCTTTCCTTCCCCTGGCAAGGAGAAACCAAATGTAAGCAAAACAGAGCTTACCTCCTGTTCCCTTTCTGTTGTTATTCATAGTCAGTGAGATATTTCCTGTTATCTGTGTCTTAGCTCACACTCCACTTATATCTAATAAGTTCTAATGAGGGATCTGTGTGTGTGTGTGTATCTATGTGCCCATACAGTGTATGTGTGTATACACACACACACACACACACACACACACATTCAAATGGTCCTCTGCTCATCACAAAGGCTCCTACAGCAACAGGAAGATAAATTGTCTTGCCTGGAGTTTTCATGCTGAATGAGTAAGAACTATCTCTGAACAATGACACAGAGGCAGCTTCAGTGATATTACCATTTTAGAAGATTATTTCTTTCTTGAGTGAATAAGTGAGTGAGTAAGGGTGTAACTGTGGGTATATATCCATATATACAATCTGGCCCCTTTACTGGTTTACTCTGAAAGTTGCCTAGCAAAAGATTTGAGAACAAGCCAGCGCTCTCTTCCCTTATTATGTGGGGCAAATGTTTCTTTCTGATTAGTCTTCTATGTCTTTAGGAGCTTGAATTTAGGCTCCAGAGAGAAATGAGGAGCCCGTTTTGAGTGTGCCTCCCTGCCTGCTCCCCTGCCCGAATCACTAGAGAGTGTGTGACTGCTACTTTGCTTATTCATTTCTTGACACGGAGCTCCTCCGCTGCTGCCTCGTATGGATCTTCAGAATGTTTACCTCAGAAGGTTAAATGCACTCAGCTGCTGTTTCATCTCTCCTCAGCCTTGAGTGCAGCAGGAAGGAATCATGGCATTATGTAATTCATATCTCCTTGTTTATTTCTAAGTGCTCTGGGCTTTGTGAAGGCTGCCCCTCCTCTGCCCAGCAGGTCCTTAGCCAAGAGAACCTAGAACCAAGTGCTGAATTAAGGCCACCAGACAAGAGAGGAGCCAGGCAATCAGAGTTCCTTCAGTTCCCTCTCTCAACTGTGCATTGTAGCCCTAAGAGCTAGAATTATAATGAAGCAGCTACTTCAAGCTAGCGCTCCAATTGGTTATCTCAGAAGCCTCTTGGGACACATGGCATCCGTGTACTGGAATAAGGAGTTTGTTGATCATATCTTATGTATTTCCTTACAAAGTATTTAAAGGAGCATCTATTTGTCTTGATATATAGATATTTTTCATAGCATGGATACTCTTTTGGTAATATAAATCTCACAACTTCTACCCTGTACCCCTATAACCACCACTGGATTTTATCTTTTTTTTTCATTTCATATTCCGTGTTCCATAACTCCATAGCATCATTACACATAGCCTCCTTTTATGAGGTAGTTATCCCCAGATTCCAAAAGGGCTCAGGAGGATTAGTCTATGTGGCTTCAAACAGCTTCCATGGGACAATGAACAGGGGTTTTCCTTCCCATGCTCAGTCACTCACTAAAAAATTAGGGGTCTCTCCTTCTTTGGCATCTTCCTGACATGTCATTCCAGAGAAGTGCACTGAGGTTGAGCAGCAGTGGGTAGCACATCCCCAAAATGCTTATTTGTGGGGGCTCTTGTCCCAGGCTGTGACTGGCAGCCAGGTAGACAGATCTGTTTGCCACCTTGCAGCATCTCACATTGGACACCTGTGTGTGACCACAGAACCCTAAGACCACAAAGCCCTTCTGTTTCCTGCTCTGTGATTTCATTCCTGGTCTTCTTGTGGTGGAATAAGGCTGCAACACACAATTCTCTCGAACAGCTTTCTAAAGCTTCTCAGGTAGCATAGTTAATAGATTGGCTCTTCAAAGACAGGTTTCAATCACACCCCCACTCTTAAATTGTCTGTTGTCTAGCCACTTCTCCTATAACCCTTTACAGATGAGAAATTAAAACATAATTAAAGGTAATGATCTACTGTGGCAACATGCCCTGAAAGTTTTAAGGTAGCTTGGGAGCCATGGTTTATTTATTTTTCTTAAGGTAACAGTGGAAAGAATAAATGGCATTCCTTTCCTTTTGGTTGCTGCCAACAGCCCTGGGACTAGCTCCCAACAAGGCTATGGAGAGCTGCCAATGTGCGTCTGTGTTTGTGGGTTTCTTTCTTGCTGGGGCTGCCTCTTCCCTCAGCTGTCAGGGCCGTGGTGCTTTGTAGAAAGCCCGATAATGTCACAGCACAATTTGCCTCCTGCAGAGAAGAGGCATGTTCTGCCCCTGGATGAAAAAAAAAAAAAGAATTGATTCTCTTGTTATTCTTAAACTTAAAACTTGTTGTTTACCCCCTTTATCATTTCACTTCTTCCACAACTCTCCTCTCCATGGTCCTCCTTATTGCCCCATCCTACCCACCATATGCCCATTCCTGAATAGCCCAGGGAAAGGGGAAGAATATTACAGCAGAACTGAAGCTTCTCTACCTTCCATTATAGCTCAAGTTCTGAGAATGCTCAGGGAATGATATTGCTATACAGGGCTGAGAATTTGGCGTGATCTACGTAAATAAGATGATCTTAGAGAAAGGTTCTCCTTTACCCTCTCTCCCCTAGACCCAGAAACAACCCGGGTCACTTGAGTTCTAGTATTCTCTATAGCAATTCCAGCCCCACCCCTTTCCAGGTTACTTTCTCCCCCCCCCCAAGATTGTAAGCTCCTTAAGGGCAGGAACTATCTTTCTTTGTCTTAGTTGCATCATAGTAACTGGCACACAGTAGGTGCTTAATAAATATTTATTGAATTGAACTGAACAGCAGAAAATGTCACAATATATTCAATTTTTGCAAAGACTTTTTTGCCATCTTTGGAATCATAGGCCCTTGGGTTGGGTTTAATGAGCTTATATTGTATTTGCCTTTGAAAACTAAAAAAATCTGTACTTCACCTACTAGCAGTCCCTGATTTGGATGAGTAATCTCAACGGCTTTTCCAAGGTACCATCTCTACTTATTTTAGAGTCTAAGAAAGTGATGAACATCTCAGGTGCTAGCTGCCCTTACAGGCCTAGTAGGTACAGTGATTTCCAAAATAGGCTGTTAAATGGTCATCGTCCCAGGTAGAAGTTTAGTTGTGGAGTCAGCCTTAGTGGGAATAAAGAAAATGGCCCCAAATAGCGCAGGGAGAAAAAAACAAGGTTGGGGGGCAGAGGAAGAATACCTGAGGTAGGAGGGCTTGCTGGAGAATGGGAGTGGAAAAAGTTATGACCAACACAAGAACCAGAAAGAAACGAGAGTTACAGGTGTGGGGTTGAACCAGATGACCTCTGAGGGCAAGATTATGGGATCATGGATTTAGAACCAGACAGGATTTTCAAGGGCATCTTAGTCCCATTCCCTCACTTTACAGATTAGGGAATTGAGGCCCAGAGAGGATACAGAACTTAGAGCTGCAAAGGATTTTAAAGGCCATCTAGTCCAACCCCACCTCATTTTATACATAGGGAAACTGAAGTCCAGAGGAGTGAAGTGACTTGCCCAAGGTCATACAGCTAGTGAGAGTCAGGATTTGAACTGAGGTCCCTCCGACTCCATATTCAAAGTTCTTTCTATTGTCTTCTAACTTTAGGATTCTGTTCTTCTGTAACCATGAGGAGTGTGGGGAATTGGATAGCATAGAGAGAGCTCCCTTTGGGTGCCTCCAAAAGTATACTGTGAATGCCAGGGGCATCAAGAAAAATGAAGAAAGATAAAGTAAGTTGTGGAGCCTTTGATGGAAGAGCTTTAGAGAAAGGATTTGGGAGGGGGCAAAAACTTTGAAAACACTGGCTATTATTTAGAAATGTCATATTGGAAAAGATGAAACAAGTATAATTTTTTGTATTTATATCCCCGATTATGATTTGCTCTTCCCTGCAGTGAGAAAGCTTTTCTAG